TTTTGACAGAGGCTTGTTCTTGTCACCCAGGCTGGAGTGCAATGGCGTGATCTCAGTTTACTGCCATCTCTGCCTCCTGAATTCATGCGATTCTCCTGCCTCAGCCTTCTCAGTAGCCGGGATTACAGGCGTGAGCCACCATGCCTGGCTAATTTTTGTATTTTTAGTAGAGATGGGTTTCACCATGTTGGCTTCAACCTGACTTCAAATGATCCACCCACCTGGGCCTCCCAAGGTGCTGGGATGACAGGGTGAGCCACCACGTTTGGCTGGAAAATGCGTTTAGTTTACAGCACCACTATTTATTTCTCTCAGCACACATGCCCCCGATGTGATATGGACTTTTGTAGATTCCTGATAAAGCAGTCCATCACCTGCCTGGCAACCCCCTACTTCCAGCACACCTAGTGCAGTACCTACAGCTGACATCCTAAAGGAAACGCCTCCCATCAGTGCAGGGATGGGCACGTCAGATAGGCTAATTCTACAGGAATTTGTGAAAGTCTATCAACAGCCACAACAAAAATGAAGGGATACACAATTTTCCTCATAGGATTATTTGTAAGTTACCCATATTTCTGCCAAAACAGTTTTAAAGTTAACCTCCTTCTGACTTTTAAAAACATCCTATGTGACATCTTAGACCCTGGTGGCAGACCCCAGCACAACCATGGGTCTGTGATCAGGAGCGAGGACATTGCGCCTCAGTCCATGTGAGACGTGGTCTATTAAGTCTCAAGTGACCTGGCAGAAAACAAGGGCATGTGCCCAGGATGCCCCTCTCCAAGCGGCCTGCTAGATTAAAAGTAAGATACAGGTCATAAGACAGTGACAAACAGAACTTAATAAAACAACTGCTGTATGCTGGAAATCAGTATTATTTCAAGGTGCACTGAAAGATAAGCTTTAATAGATTATTTATAAATCATTTTATAGAACAAAGAATTAAAATATAACAGAAAACGACATACATATTTGACTAAACATATACAAAACATATACAAAAAATACATATATAACAGAAAACTATATACATATTTTTTTCTTTTTTCTGGAAAACACGTTTTATTTTTCCTAAAGCACCTGAGATGTGTGTGTATGTTGTTTTCAGGTTAAATGCGTGGTTTCACCATAGAAGCAAATCAGGAAATGTGATAATTTCAGTTTCATTACTTTTTCACAAAAAAGTGAGCGTTCAGTAGGCAATTATTCCTTCTTTAAAGCATGTTTAAACCTCCCCATACTGAAACCATTAGAATCTTTTAAAACACACCTGCATACGAACATCACTCACCCTGGGTTCCCACCAGAACCAGAGGAACCTCGTTTGTGTTCCGATAGTTGGCCATTCGACTGTAGTAGTGGTAAACAGTCTGGAAACTTATTTCGTCCTCCAAGCTGAAGACAAATATCACAGCGTCCACCCACATGGCAAACTAGGGAGAGAAGAAGGGGAAGAGAACAGGAGCTGAGTGACAAGGCTTCATTAAGAACGGAGATGTCTGGATGGGCCTCTGGGCGGCTCAGAGAGCCTGGGGTGGCAGACAGCAGGGTGCTTCGGGAATCCCCTTGGTCGCCCGCTGGGTGCTTGATTTTTGACTGTTCTTACACACGGTCACAGTACCAAAGTCCTCCTCCTGAGGACGCCGTGCCTGGTGCTCTCCTCAGAAACAGGCCCTTCACCCTGTTCCCACCAAGCCACTCTGTCTTCCGAGGACATAGCCAAGCAGTCTCCCGGCCGCCCTCATGCTCCAGGCCTGCCCACCGCTGCCCTGAGCGCAGACAGGAGGCCAGCCCCGCCTCCCTCCAGAGCCTCTCAAACCCCAAGGCTTTCCACTGTCCTCTCCGCCTCCTCTTCAGACCCTCCAGGAAGCCCTGCTGGACCCCTCAGGCTGAGAGGCGGGTCTCTTCCCTGGGGCTCCCACAGCCTGCCCAGAACCACCCCCCCCCCCCCCCCGCCCGACCCCAAGGTCCTTCCCACGCCTCTGCAGGGCCGGCCTCCTCTATGAAGGGTAAAGATTGAACACAGGCTCAGCGTTGGCTGACCTCCTGCAACACCAATGCAAGGAAATGACTATTTTTAGGGAAAAGTGAAAAGTGCATTCGGTTTTAAGTAAAACATTTACATGATAAAACTTAACCCAAAGTTCTAATAAGTACAAAATTAAATGAGAATGAGGACTTGAAAACAAGGCTGGGAGAGACCTGGAAAGACGGCAGCTCCCACACAGCGTGCCAGGGCCAAGGCTGACGGAGGCTTCTCCTTTTCCTCTTCTCCACCTTGAGGAGCCCTCTTTCTGTCTCTTCCAACAAAGTGGGAGGGGCAGACTACCCCTGCACCCATGAAGAGTGCCGGCTGACCCGGAACAGACCTCAGTTCCCAGCACGGGAGCTGAAGCCCACCTGAACCTCCACCCAGAGGAAACGTGAACCGTGGCTCTAGTCTGCTAAGGGTGCATTCTGGTTTCCCCAGCTCCTTGTGTGTGGGGCACCCAACACACAACCTCCTACTCCAACACCTCACCATCAGAAAACTGAAACTATGTTTTGGGGTTTTTGCTTTTTGAGACAAAGTTTCGCTCTGTTGCCCAGGCTGGAGCGCAGTGCTGAGATCTCAGCTCACTGTAACCACCTCCTTCTGGGTTCAAGTGATTCTCCTGCCTCAGCTTCCCATGTAGCTGGGACTATGGGCCACCAAGCCTGGCTAATTTTTGTATTTTTAGTAGAAATGGGGTTTCACTCTGTTGGCTAGGCTGGACTTGAACTCCTGACCTCCGGTGATCCTCCCACCTCAGCCTCCCAAAGTGCTGGGATTATAGGCATGAGCCACTGTGCTCGGCCTCTTCTGTAGATTTTTCTACATATATGTATTTTTTGTAGCTTTTGTGATTCATATTCAATTTTGTGCTTCATGTATTGCTAATTTGCTCTGTAACTGTAGGGGAAAAAGCTGCTTCCAGTCAGTCAAAACATTTATGTGCTGGAGAAGACAGAAAATAAACCCAGGTGATTCCTACTTCTTCCTCCCATCACCGACACAGGAGGGACCCTGCACCAAAGAGGTCCGTGGTGTAGCAAAACACTGTCCTTTACACTCAGTGGACTAAGAAACAGCTGACTTTTACCAGCTTCGCAAGCCTAGGACCGTATCGGTCCGATCTCTAACTTGCCCTGCCTTAGTGTAAACTAACGGATGGTCACTGAACATGGGCTCAAGCTGCTTTGTAACTAAGTTTTCACTTTTAACATGTCTTCAAGGTCTTTCCTTCTTACGATCAAGTATATGGTATGGTCAATGCTAAGAAACAGAATTCTTCACACTTTAACATCTTTGAAATCAGAATGCACCTAAATATCGCTGATGTTTCACAGTTTAATTGGCAGCATTCTTCTTTTGAATATTGGTACACCTTACAGTTACTGGTGTTTCAGAGTCAAGGGAACACGGCAAATCTGTGATATCTTCTGTATACCACACGGCCCTCCAGTGTGTGGAGTACTAGACCCAGAAGTCCTGCATTCAGTATCTTTCCTTTCATCTTACAATCCTATGCTGCACATTCACAAAAAGTCCAGGAAATAGTGCCAAGAAAACGTTTCACATTCAATTTGCATGAACAGTCACTGGCCATTACTAGCCCTTGGCTCCTTTAAAGTGCTTAACTAGTAAATTATGCTGCAAGTAAAACAACAAAGTGGGTTAAATAAACCAAAGAAAGAGATCGTCCACACTCAGGTTTTGTTATTTCTAGAATGTCCATCTTTCCAGGAACTTCCCAAGAAATCCTAACATGCCTCATACCAGTTTTCGGTGGAGACTGCTTTGCTTGGGGCAAGACCAAGGGGGCACGCAGGGGCCAACACCTGCAGTTACCAGAGACAGAAAGAAGACCGGACTCCAAATTCCACCCAGCTAACTCTCTAAATCTCATTGCTCTAGAGATCAAACCACTCAAAGGAAAAGACCAAAAACAAACAAACTGAAATACACAAATTCCCAGATGTCATTTCAACTGGGTTCCCCAACCAGGGCAGAGTGTGGCGTTTTCTGCCTTTTTAAAAACACAGAGAGTGAAAAGCCACCATATAGACCCAACTTCTCTGCAGGATTTTGCCTGAAAAAAAACAAAAACAAGAAGAGGAAGCAATAGCTTCTGAGACATGAGAAGAAAATGCAGGGATAGGAAATATTTTTACGAGTTTCCACTTTTTTGAAAGCAGGTGTTGAATCCAACCTCAGAAAACAAAGGGGAAAAAAGCAGGCTTGGGGCATGCGCGTATACTCACCTGCGCCTCCGGGGGGCCCCCTTCGTCTCTAATCAGCAGCAGATAGCTCTGTCCGTCAACAACAATCTCTTTCTTGAACCTGCCACCTGCCACATACACAAAAGATCTCGTTACACAAGAACAACAGAGAGTGAGGGGCAAACAGACGTGGGCTTCGCTTGTGGAAAAATACACCCTAGGCTGTCGCCCTGGAGACAACTGAGTATTTAGGATGTCTCCAGCAGCCACTGAATTTTAACAGAGCTGAGCTCAGATTTAAATGTTCATCTTTAAGAACCTGTGTGCGTTTCCAGTTAGAAAGCACAGCCTCCTTCGCGATGCCAGACACTGGTGGCCGAGAAGTGTGGACTTTTCATGGGGGCTTTCTATGTAAATTCAGGAATTCTCACTCACTGGGAAACAGAGAACATCGCAATTGTCATTCTCTTGTTGGGTTCACAAAAGTGAAACAAATTTTTCATGCTTAACAGGTGCCTGATCTGCAACCTCTTGGTAAATTACAGGGCCGAGAACCTGTATTCTCCTCAAGAGAAACCCAGTTCTTGAAAGGGAGACATAGAACATCATGAGAATGGTGTTTCCAGGGTCACAGGTCACAATTAGGGGAGGGACGCTTCACTACTACACAAGGGTTACACAGAAACTACTGGATGGGACCTCCGCACAGGTGGAGACAGCAGAGCAGCGGCTGACGAGGAGGCGTTAGAGACCACGCGGGGTTAGAGAGAGACCACCGGGACCCTGCCGGAACAGAGGTGACAACGAGAGGGTGTGTGGGCATGAGGGGCCCGGTGCCGTCCTGGACGTCCCGGCCCCTGACACTCTCAGGAGGGGGTGGTACAAGATGGCTGCAGTGCCCAGCCTGGCCCGCCAGGCCAGCCCTGCTCCTGCTCGGCGGCAAGAAGGATTCCACCCTGGCTCCTCTGCCTTCTCCAACAACAGACGTCCCTCTCCAGATCCTGGGCTCTGAGTCCACACTAGGGAACCCTCAAGGGCATCTGGAACTCTTGGAGAGGGGAAGGCACGCATCGCTTCCTAGCTCCCGTCTTCCGCTCCTCTGTGCAGATGCCTTCTAGAAACCCTGTCTAAACTCCAAATAGATGGACCCAGAGGACAATGCTGCTGGGGCCCAGATGCTGCCTGCGGCTCCTCTGCTGCCCAGAGCCACATCTGACTCCCTCCCCTGCGAACGGAACCTTCCCTCCTCGAATCCTGGGTCTGAACCAATCAGTGCCCATGAAGCAAAAAATCCGAGTCCCCATCCCAGCCTGGAAGTGTCCGAGGCCCTCCAGAGGGTCCGCTACCCTCGGAGGCCACAGAGGGCTGCCCGGGGCGCTGGCCCGTTCCCGGAGCTCCTACCGCACTCATGTGCTCAGAATCAACACCTACGCAGACGTCGCGGGCAGCCGCATTTACTAAAGCAAACAAATCTGCTGTTCAGCTCACTCGATAACAAAACAATGAAGACGACCTTTGGATGTTAAAATGAAGCAGATAAACTCTCATTCTGCTGTCCCCTCATCACTGAAACAAGAGGGTAGGGTCCATTGGAAATGGTCAGGCTGAGGTCCGTCAGCAGGGGACACAGCCAGGCCAGTCAGGACGCTCGGTCCAGACAGGGTGAGCCCCAGCAGCTGCAGGAGGGTCCAGAAGACTTACAGTTCCTGAATCGAGCGTCCTCATAGGTAAAAATAAACCACTTTTCTAGCAGAGCTACTGTGACAGTGAAACAGGCTGGGAAACACCTGACATAAGGTGGACACCTCCACGTGTGACGCCGCTGCAGACGGCTGCCCCCAGACCCCAATACCGGCCTAGCTCTGCCTGAATCCTGGCTCTGCCACACACAGCTGTGTGGCCTCGCCTCACCTCAGTGTCCCCACATGCAAAGAGGATATTGTCCTAGCAGGCAAGGAGTAGTAAGTTGACACAAAGAACCCTAAACAGTAGCCGGCACGGTCTTACTTGAAATTTCTGCCAAGGTTATTTTAACCTGCTTTTAGAAAAGTCCTATTTAACAGTGGCTACGCCTGCTTACCAGAGAACAATCTGCAACAGTGATGATATATTATTTCCCTTTCAAAAAAGCTTTTTAAAAAGAGATGCTGGAAACCTGCTACAGCTTGGTGACATAAATTGAACTGGACCCTTTTAAGAAAAATAACATCTAAGGCTGGGCGCAGTGGCTAACACCTGTAATCCCAGCACTTTGGGAGGCTGAGGCGGTAGATGACCTGAGGTCAGGAGTTCGAGACCAGCCTGATCAGCATGGTAAAACCCATCTTTACTAAAAATATTAAGAAATTAGCTGGGAGTGGTTCTGGGTGCCTGTAATCCCATCTACTTGGGAGACCAAGACAGGAGAATTGCTTGAACCTGGGAGGCAGAGATTACAGTGAGCCGAGATCATGCCATTGCACTCTAGTCTGGGTGACAAAAAAGAAAACGGGAGGGGAGGGGAAAACAAATGTTTGAAGAGGAAATCTATTCCTCTTTATTTGGAGAAAAATCTTCTCCTTCATACCCTGTTCTGTGCATGAGCCCAGGCATCAGCCCACCAGGTTCAAATCCCGCCACGCCCTCACTAGCTGGGTGGCCTAAGGCAAGTAACTCAACTGCTCAGAGCCTCAATTTCCTCACCTGTGAAATGGGGGTTAACAGCCTTCCTGAATGAGTTAATGTGTGAAAAGCACTTAGAACCCTGCTTGGGACAGAGAGGAGCTCAGAGAGCAGCGATCCTCATCACCCCTGCCCCTCCCCCTCCCCCCTAAGGTTTGTTTATCTCCCTCCTCTCTTCTTCCCTACTCCCTCACATTCACTGAAATCGTCTGAGCTTCTTTGCTAGGTTTCTGTACAAGTTTCCACCTGCCGGCGTCCTCCCCCGCCTCCGTCCCTCCTTCCCCTGACAAGTATCACACGCAGATGGACCTCGCTGCGACACCATCCTGACCCTGTGTCCTGAGCCCCGCATGTGCCCCTCTGTGCCCTCCGATGCCGAGTCTCCTTCAGGTTCCCAGCTCCAGCACTGCCCTCTGATGGCTGCCCCGGATACAAGGGCACGTGGAAGCCCTCCCTGCTTGATGAATCTTGGGATTCAACTTCGAGAAGGCTTCACTGTCTTGACAGGGCATGCCAGCCCCAGGTCCCATTCCTCAATCGCTGGACTGTGTCACCTCCAGAGCAAGAAGGGAGGAGTGAAGCCTGTCCCTGGGGTCCTGCAACACCAGTGTCCCTAGGCCATTGCCTACCTGTCTGGGAGGAGGAACTTGGGGAGCGTCACCACCCAGCTCTCATGGAAAGACCATGATGCTTCGGCTGGTGACCCTCCCTGGTGCATGCCAGGCGAGCACATGCAGGGCAGATTTCACTTCCATCCTCTCCTTTGCTTCCTCTAACATGTTTCTGCAGAGGCACATTCACAAGGGAAGCTTCTAGGTAGTCGAATCACAATATTCAAGTCACGAAAGGTTCCCTAGGAGGGCACTGAGGCTTCTCACTCTGCTTTCCTAAACTCTCTGGCTTTGTGACCTCAAGCAAAGGACTCCAGGCCCCACTTTCACTGCCTCTAAAAGGAGCTGTGATTCCTTCTCTCATCAGCAAGGTCCCTTCGAATCCTAAAGTCGGTTTACATTCCCCACCCAGATACAGAGTATAATGAACATTTCTTTTCAGCATTTTACAATTTCAAACAGGAGATACTGGTAACTGGTTTGCACGATTTTTCTGGTATTACACTTAAATCAGAAAGCAAAAATTAAAATACTCCTAAGTATTTGCCATGAACTCAAAGGCGAATAATTAGATACAATTCAATCAGCCAGGTTGTAAGAAAGCAAGAGTGTATTTGCCGGGGACATTTTCAAAAGGTCCTGCAGGGCACTCCTGGTGGGAGCAGGCTCAGCTCAACAGGGCCACTGGGCCTTGAGAAGCCTGGGCTGGCAGGTAGATCACACTTTAAAATTCATTTTCTACACTTTAACCACTTTAAACACAGAAGGAAGGCCTTAGGAGAGCAGCACGGCTGGCAACAAGCTGGTATTCAGCAGGTACCACCACTCACGTAATTTTAAATTCGGCCCCATCATTTCATCCGATCTCACCCCAGTCACTAGACTTTTGTTGTTGTGCAGAAACCCAGCAAAGCAGCGAAGAGGATTTCAGTGCAAGTGAAGGGCTAGGGAAGGATAGCAGGGCGAGACTAAGAACTCTTGCGGGTGAGGTGAGAGGGGTGGGGGTGATGAGGGATCCCTGCTGACTGGGCTCCTCCCTGTCCCAAGCAGGGTTCTAAGTGCTTTTCACTCATTAACTCATTAAGGAAGTCTCTGTTTACCCCCATTTCACGGGTGAGGAAACTGGTTTTTGTTTTTGTTTTTGTTTTTTTGAGACAAAGTCTCACTCTGTTGCCTAGGCTGAATACCGTGGCACTGACAAGGCTCACTGCAGCCTCGACTGCCTAGTGAGAGATCCTCCCACCTCAGCCTCCTGAGTAGCTGGGACCACGGACCCGTGTCGCCATACCTGGCTAAATGAGATGGGGGCCTCATTATGTTGCCCAGGCGGGTCTCGAATTCCTGTGCTCAAGCGGTCCTCCTGCCTCAGCCTCCCAAAGGGAGATCTTTTTTTCCACCAAAATGTTAGAGGATACCACCCAACTCTACATCCAGTTTCAAGTAGAATGCAGGTTTCTAAATGCCTATTTTGTCCCCATTTCCACATATCTTCCTGCAGGTCTGTTTCGCCCACCTGTGTCCCCCCGGCAACTGGTGTGCGGCTAGGCCCACGGCCCATGCGATGGATAGGCCGTGAGCGATCTGCAACCTTCTCTGCTGCCAATTATGATTACATAACGTTCAATGACATCAGGATAACTTCATTCTCAAAAAGGGTTTTCAGTCTCCCCAAACCTGATGTCCCTGTCAGACACGTATCTGGCCTAGGCACACCTGTGAGCAGGTGCTTGGCGAGCTCCTTGGGCAGGGGCAAGCGCTGGACCTGGACCACCTCCCAGTGGCCGGCCCCCGGGGCTGAGGAACTAGACAGACGGGCTGCAGCTGCCCGACCCTAAGGTGGAACCAGGTCGCTGGGT